AGTTGGCAATTAATATTGTAATCTTGGCTGGCTGTTTCATATTCAGATCTTTTCAGTGGGTTTAGTAGGGATGTTTTGTCCCCAATAATGAAGTATTACTCTGTATTCATGAAATGTATAAATACAATAGTGCTTTGTATATAAAATATCAGCTCTGTGTAAATATGCTGTATTTTCTTGATTTGGGACTGTTCTGCAAATAAAAAGGATAAAATTTAATAATTCCAACTTACCACTTAGTTCCTGTACAATTTGCTATACATGTAACACTGTGTTCAAGTGTGTGACCTGAAGTGAGATTTTTTTAAATTACAGTAACCCTTGCATTCCCAGAGAGACCAGGTCTTGGATGTAGGTATGCTAGGGCACTGCCTAGACAGGAGAGCCTAGGGGAAGCAGTTCTGGTTGCTGGAAACTCTTCCCTATAACCCTTAGGTCACCAAGAGGGGGTTGCCTTAGTGTTCAGGCAGTTCATTCAAATACCTTTTAAAATTCTTATATTCAGTTCTCAGCAAATGGTGGTATCTCACATAGTTTGAATTGAATCTCAAATTAAATTCTCTCTTTGAGGCTATTTTACTCAGTAGGGACAGTATTATCTACCATTACTGTAAGCTATAATATGGTTTATATTTTGTTCTCAAATATATTTATGTAGTTGTACGTCCACTGAAGCACAATCTTCAGTTTTTAGGCATTTACCATGAAGTGGACACTCAGTTACATGGAGTAACAGACTATCTCTGGTCTTCAGTGGCTGTAGTAATTGTGTTCTTTTTGGAGAACTAAGGTCCAAGTTTTAACTTCTCTGCTAAAGTTATTACTTCTTGACTTTCCAGCAGTCTTAACAGTACAGAAAGGGAAAAATACCCCAAAATGCAGCAAAAGCTGACAAAAGAGGTCATTACCTCTTACTGTATTCCACTGAGGATTTCAGTGGGATCTTTAATAGAGTGATACACTCTTGTGTGTTCTTCCTTTTCTTATGCCATACTATTTCATCATGCATTTCCAGAACCCATTATAATGAATGGATTAAAAGAACTGTAAGTCAGTGATTCAAAGAAATAATGTTTATGTTTAGCTGGAATTCATTTGTTTACAGCAAAGGAGCTGGAGTATAGTAATTTGAATTGTCATGTTTGAAGCTTTTAGGAAATCAAGTGAGCAGCTGGCTGCGTGGCTCAGTGACCTAGATTGCAGAGAAGACATTTGCTTCAAGAGAAGAAAACAGGGTGTGCAGAACAGTATCACATCTCATCATGGCATTTGTGACAGAGACAAGCAGTGTGTTCTGTTTCAGGTTTTCTGAAATACATGTCACAATTGTTCATGTAACAAATTAAATAGGTTGATGGATGAAGACTTTACTTGATAGTACGTAATACATTTTGCAGTCTGTTACTGTAGCCAGTATTTAACCTATTATTCTAGGAAAAAAAAATGAAAACAGATCTGTATACTAGCACTTGCTGTGCAAATGGAGTTGTGCAAGGAAGGGTGGCCAAGCATCAAGTGCTGCCCTGACTTCTTTGAATCATAACGTTTAGCCTTTCATACAGCTAACTACATACCTCATGTCCAAAAATAAGAAAGCACAGGCCTCCAATTCTTTCTCCTGTTGGAGAACATGTGGTGAAAGACTCTGTGCCATGTTGCTACATGTCAGTACCTGAGGCTAATAAGTACAGTCCAGCTCTGCAGTATCTCCAGTTGATTTATTTAGCTTTGTCATCTTTCACTGCCAGGACAATGGGGCAGAGTAGAAGGGGAAAAGTACACTTGAATTCCTCCTTTGCCAGTAGCTTGTGAAGGGGTTTGTGGAGTTCTTTTAATCAGAGTGGCACAAAACATCAGTATTAAAGTATTGAAGATCTGCAGCTCAGGCACATAAATACTAAATTGCATGACAAATACACATTGCTTCACCTTTTAGCCTCAGAGATTGTACATCACTGGATTCCAGTAGAGAAGTTTATGGTTTTATCTTTCTCTTTTCTCTGTGAGCAGGCATTTTTTTTTATTTATTTTTTTTTAAAAAAAGGTACATAGCTAAAAGTTGTTTACACAGAAGAACATTTCACAAATATTCACCTTTGAAAACTGGAATACGTAACTTGACAGAGTAAGTGTTTTCTTACAGAATACAGTATATGTTTATGCAAAGAAACATATGTAATTATCTTAGGGGAACTCTCCATGAAGTTAAATCCAGCACAAGTGATGCATTCATAGTGAGTTTTGAGAAGAGGCTCTGAAACAGCTCAAGCAGTAAGAAAACTTGCAATAATTCCATTTTCAACAAACCATTAAATTCCAGTTATTCATTTTGAAGGATTACCCTGGTCAAAACACTTTCTATTCACTTCCCAGTGAAACAAAGATAAATTTTTTAAACATGTTCTGTAAAGCTGGTTATTATACCAATCCCCTTTCCCTTGAGGCAAAACATGACGTCTATTAGTTCTTAAAAAGGAAAAAGAAATAAAGAACAGCTTTAGAATAACTGCTTTTGAAGACTGCAGAAGGTTTCTGCATTCACCTTTGACTCTGCTCTAACGCAGAGGCAGAGCAAAAATCTGAATTGAGACTGTGTTGTTGCCACAGTGCTTCTGAAGTCACGTGGGAGCTGTGCAGTGGGGACTGCCAGGTTGTTTTTCTGTAAAAAGCTGTGTGAAGGACTTGAAAGATGGAAGGGAGGTAAGATGGAAAAAGTAGAACCATCAGGGAGGAACAGAAGCAGGAACCACACACTTAAATGCCTTTACAGGATTAATACATGCTTCAGAAGGACACTAAGAATACAATTCAAATGTGTTGTAAGGTAAGACGGCATTATCCCTTGATCATTTTATGAAATAACTTTCATCTAGGCATTAAGTGTCACCAGCATCCATACACATGGATACTTACTTCTCCTTTCTCCCCAAAGTAGCAGTTAGGCACTGAAGGAAAAGCCACAAAGATTTAAGGTAGTGGAAGAAAAGCTTAGGTTTAGCCCATGGAAAGTAGCAAACTTTTCTTTTCTAAAACCAGACCTGCATTATTTTGAATCTAGTTTTAAATGCTTTAAAAATAAACTTCATTTCTCAATTGCAGAGGAGAGGGATTCTATACAGATTTTCTCCTCGTTTAAGTAGCAATTCTGTTTTCAAGCATGGCAAAGGAAAAAAATTTTAAAAGACTAGCTCAAACACCACTGAAGGCAGCTCACTCATCCAGAAACAGGCTATAAAAGCCCCATTTAGTGGAAGTCCCAGAGCTTCTTAGCAAGAGCAATATTAAGCTTCAGTTCAGACAAAGCTCGACCATCAGGTAGCTAACAGTTGTTTGAGATGCCTCAGCAGGAAAGCAGTTGCCACATTCAGAAGGCCGATTTCCCAAATTTCTGAAGTTGGGAAGAGAAAAGGAAAGTCCACAGCTACAGCCTTCATACTTTTGGTTAAGAACATACTGTAAAAGGAGACCTGCTCTGCACCTGAAGCAGCATACTGGACACTTTACATCACAGCCCATGCGACTGTGCTCATTTATAAAAGGGTTCACTTCAGCCTTCTCTTGGGAACTATTTTCAACAACAATCTGCTAGTTTTTAACAGTCTCTGCTTTTCTTTTAAGTATAATCCTGTTACTTTAAACATGAGGAAGTAGTGCGAGAATTACATTTGAAAACAGGAAATCTAAGATGTAAGTGGTTTATACTAAGGGCACAGGAGAGGAAAACAAGAGGTTTCCCCCACTCCTGGTATTCTTTAAATGCACAACCCCTTAGCTGTTTTTTCCATTTGTCAGGTGAAGGAAGAATGAATTCATCAGCATTTAAGAGGCTGAAGAACATTTAACAACAGGGCATTGCTATATTTTCACTGACACAAACATGTTGTATACAAAGCAGGTTAGTTTCAAGAAAACCCAGTTAGGCCCAGGATCTTGAATCCACTAGTTTCATTCCAGTTAAGAACTTCCTGCAGATCACTCTTACTCCAAATCCAGCAAAGGATTTGAACCTGGTTTCTCTGCATCCTATGTGCTTGCTCTAAAACCATTTGGCTATTAGTTACCCATCTCTCAAAGAAAGCTGAAACGTAATTTAAGTACCGGTTAAGGTTCAGAGCCTCGTTCCTTCTCTCAAAAAATAAAGGTTAAAATTACACCTATTCAATTCCTTAACAAACCTTTCCCTGGGAGAACAGCTGTGCTTGCAACACCATCCCAGCTGAGTACAAAAAGAAGATGGAGCAAGCACAGCTCAGCTATGCTTTTGGAGCTGGTCCTCTCAACAAGTCAGAGCCTGCTAGCCCTTCACTGGCCCACTGGTCAAAAAAAGGGCCATTTATAGAGCCAAAAAGCATAGGAAGGTTCAGCCTGCAAGCAAAGCATAACACTAGCTTAACACACCACCGCCATTTGCATACAGTAACTCTGTTGGCAAAAGAAGAATAGTTTTTGTCTGATTTCCTGTGATTTAGCTGTTTGTGTGTAGAATACTAATTCCAGGTCATCACTGGGCAGCTGCCAGAGGTGCTGTAATTACAGGCACCAATTTGCTTTTACTCAGCAGCAGGTGATGGTAGCATTTTGTAAAGACTGTGACAAAACAATTTCATAGGCAAGGTATTCCCTCTGGAAGCTTTGTAAGTTGGGTTTAACCTGCACCAAAAAGCAGGTAGGAAACAGAAGCTGAAGTTCATGCCAAGCAGATATCCCTTGTGCTGCTCAGTTTCAGGTGTCTTTTTGGGAGAGGCAGAAACTGCAGAACCTCCCAAGGGGCTGCCTGTTTATTCCTTACTTTAGTCTTAATTTGAGGTTTAGACTTTTCTGGGCTGAGGAGTTTTCATACACCTCCCAGTGCCAGGCTCCAGACTTCACAGTCCCCACAAATTATTATGGTATCCTTCAGAAGCTGGACATAAGCATCCATTTAAAAACAAAGAACAAAACAAAACGGGAAGCAAAAATAATGCTGGGCAAAAGGTTTAGACCACGGAAGGCATCAGAGTAAAACATTCAGTGTTGCACTTCTTGTCTAAACTGAGATTTGTCAGCACAGCCAGTCTTATGTACAATAAAAAGCACAGGTCTGAAATACCTTCTATCAAAATACCAGAAGGCCAAGAAAGGCTTCTAACTGGACAGTAACAGGCATGTTTACCTCAAAGTAAAAGACTTTTCAGTCAAGGATCCGATGGGAAGATTGCATGACCGATTTGCTTTCTAAAACGATTGGTGGCTCTGAGATGAGGAGGTCATCCTCACATAGTGAAGAGTTCTGCTCAGTGTTCACAAAGTTAGGAATGTTAAATTTTGTAAGACAATTTAGGTCCTCCTCAAACAGCCCACTGCTCCTGGGAACTTCCTGGAAGTGGATATTACTCTCCAGACCTGGACCTTTCTGACTTTGTTTCGCTTTGTCCAAATGTTCCACTTCATTAATACAGAAATGGAAAAGTGACCGGGATTCTTCAGCTATTTGACGAGAAAAGACCCTCTCCGACTCTAGAGGTCTTCCAAAATCTGCCACAAAGCTATTCATTCGAAATCTTTTTTCAGAAGGTTCTGCATTGCTGGGAAGGAAAAAGAAAAACACAGTAAGCACAAAAGTAGAACTATTCGAGTTCGTAACATCAAATTGGGTTTCAGTAACCATTACAATCAGGAAGAAAGGAAATTCTACGGTTTATCTACAACAGACTCTTAAAAGCCAGCACTGTTTATTATTTTCTGCTGAAGCTATTTTAAGTCTTGATTTGTCGTAAGAATTTTCCATGGGAATAAGTTATCAATGCCAGCACTCTTAAATGGCACTTCTGGTAATCAATATACTTCAATAATCAGCTCACTGTACGAGCTTAGAAATACTCTTCAGCATTTCCTCTTGATATCAAGTAGTATCAAGTAGTAACAAGTTTTTAAAAATGGCTTTTAGAACACTTTGAGAAAAACCTTTGATAGAGAAAATCTTTCTAAGACACTGCTGTCACTAAAGGCATAATTTGAGTGCTTGGTTGTCCAGACATCCGACCGTCTTTTCCACTGACTTCGCTCAATGACATTCAGATTTCCAAATCAGAAGAGCTGGAACTAAAAACCACTATAAAGACTGCCAGTCTTTACAGTCTTAACACTTCACAAACACTATCTTTCTGTATTTTGGGGAGGAATTATTTTTTTTTAAACTAGAATAAAAACTTGCACAGTCCTCATTACAGTATGCAAGTATACCTTATAGTGCCTCTCTTTTCAGAACACTCAGAATAAGAGAAACAGCCTCAGAAACCCCAGTTTTACTGTGGAAGGGAGCACAGCCACCTGGACAACCAAATCCCCTTTGCAATATTTGGGCCAACAGGACCCTCTGAGCCCCAGAAGCTGCCAACAGGAGAGCACGAAGGTGAATGCCAGACACCTTGAGCATCACACATACTGAAAACCACTCAAAACAAGCAGTTGCCAATGAACTAACTGCAACTCCCTTTTCTAGGAATCTTCCAGCCTATGATGCTGGGCTTTGTTCTTCTGGATTCAGTATTAAGCTCTGGACTCTGCACACTGGACTTGAGTGCACCGTCAGGGTGCAGACCATTTTTCTAACAGGGGCATACTGGTTTGGGACTGACACTTGGCATTCCTCTATAAACACCCCTTCTCTCAACACTCCCAGAAGTGACCTGGGGTAGTTGGCAAACCATGGAAAGGAAAAAGTAGCCAATCCTCCAAAATAGCAGGGTTTGGCATCCCAAAGGGAACTTGAGGGATCTAAACAGATCCTTAGCACCAATCCAGAAGTGCTACCCTGAACCTGAGAAACCTTCCTGTTTGCAGCAAACACATACATCTTATCTGTAGAATGTTTTGTTTCAGTAGATCTGCATTTCTCTGAGTGGATTTCACCCCAGAATCCTTAACCAAAACCAACTGATATCTTAAAAAATAAATAAATAATATTAAAAAAATAAAACCTGTCATTTCACCTTTACTGCAAGTAGTTGTACAACCTGCCTCAATAGCTGCATGAAGCTTTGAGATTACACAGCCAATAGTTTGTATAGAGACAGGTTACATGAGCAGACTCATGCATTTGTTGCACAAACGTGGTTTTAAGGACCTTTTAAAAAGCAGAAAGAAGCATAGTGTACTATCTTCTCCCAAGTAATGAACGAGAGTACTTTTCAAGCAGAAATTCAGAAAGGTGGTCAACACAAATTTTTTTGTCACACAAGCTAATGTTCTACACATACTAATATGCAAGCAAACAAAAGTGCAATGGGCATCATTCCCATAACTAATTAAATTTCTACCTTTCCCCATCATGACCTTTTTCTTCTGATCTGAGAACATGCCCAATTCTGAACATCTTGTACAATTTTGAAAAGTACATGCTATCATACCCCTTTATATTGAGCCAAGAAAAGCACACTACTAGAAAAATCATAGTATTCTACTTTGGATTCACCCATCTGAACCCAGTTACACTTACCTCTCACGTTAATGGTACTTTGAAGAACAGCCAAATTGACTTACTGAAGTCAGACACATCCATCAATCAGGCTGGCTTTCTCCCAAAACCTAGGAACCCCATTAAGATCTATTTCTAATGAAATGATGAGTCATGAAGAATCCAGTCAGGGATAAAGACAGAAGATGCAGGCAAACTAAAACCACAATCTGCACTGGTTTTACAGGTAGTTATGTTCTCCAGTTTTTATATACGCATATCAAAAATAAGAGGAAACAACAGTATTCACTGCCCTTAGCATATTTCTGAATGTTCTATTTCCAGTACTGTACAAAGGGAGTTACCAAATCTCAAAAAAAGTAGTGCTCAGATTTGTTAAAGGTGCCAACTCAGCATACATAGTAAGTGGGCAAGCATTCAAGCACACAGCTCCCAAAGCTGCCAGGAAGTTTAAAAAAAAAAAAACCAAACCACCACCTAAAGGAAATGACTGGGTTCTCTTCAGCAACTGAAGAGAAATCATATCAAGATTCAGTTTGGAAGTGACCTCTGGAGGTCTTTAGCCTAATGCCCTGATGAAGGCAAGGTCAACTCTGAATTCAGATCAGGTTATCTGGGTGTAGAAGACCAAAGATGGAGGTTTCACAAACTCTCTAGGCAACCTGTTCCAAGAAAATTAATGAAGAAAGCAGAAACAGTGGGAGATAGCCCACAACACTCTGCTACCTGAAAGTACGTTTTCACAAGTGTACAAACTTTTGACAAATTTCCATATTAAATTCTCTTTGTTGTACATTTGACTTCAACACTTCTTCCCCTCTCATATTATTCACATGGGATACAGACTCAGCTAAGAAACAAGATCTCCGGGGAAAAAAAGCAGCACACCAACACTTACAAGGACTTGAATTTGGGAGCAGGGAGGCAAAAATACCAGCCATGAAATTCAGCAAGTCAGTTCTGGAAAGCTGAATTCTTCTGCCTCTGCTTCCTTCTCATGGAAGCAAAGATTTAGGAGCGCAGGAGAGGCTCACGATATGTACACACTAGATGCATCTCGTCCCTAATAGAGCTCTACCTCTAGAGATGTGCTATTACATGAAGTTTCAGAGCCAGTCTGCACATGATTAAATAGCAGAGATAAGCAGGCTGCTTTCGGAAGTGATAAGCACTAACAACTGCCTTTCACAATCAGCTTCTCATCACTGCTACCTGCCTGCAAGCAATCTCACTCTCCAGAGAGGCTTTTTATTTCCACTTTGCGGCGCACAAGCCTGAGAGGAGATGTGGGTTCAAACGTTCTCAGAGGAACGGACACTGACAGCTTGTGTGCTGCGCAAATGCAGATAAACAGTTGAGGCAAGGCATGGTCTGCACAAGCTTATCAGCTGGAAAGAACAAGGAGGAAAAAAAAAAGATTACTTTGTGACTTTCAGGGGACTCTGGTGTTAAACACCTGTGGGCTGATCGGTACCTCAGCATCTACTGGAATTTCTCAGCAGAAACTAAGACGCTCTGACAGCAGGGGAGCTACAGGGTTAAGGGAAGATTTTGTAAATCATAGAAGCATAGAATCATAGAATCGTTAGGGCTGGAAGGGGCCTTCAAAGGCCATCTAGTCCAACCCCCCTGCAAGGAACAGGGACATCTCCAACTAGATCAGGTTGCTCAGGGCCTCATCCAACCGGGCCTTGAACGTCTCCAGGGATGGAGCATCCACCACCTCTCTGGGCAACCTGTTCCAGTGTTCTACAACTCTCATGGTAAAAAATCTTTTCCTAATATCCAACCTGAATCTACCTCCCAGTATCTGCCTTTGGACTTGAACACACAGAAACCCTCCAGACTTTCTTAATTAACTTCCTTAATTTAACATCTGCACTGCATTTTGTTTGTATATACTCTGTCAATATTCACATTTCTCTGATCCACGCCCTCATAACATGAGCCTACATAGAATGACCCCATTTATTTGAAAAAAAGTAATCTAAAGCCACCTATTTGGCAGCCGACCCACCAACTTCGTTTTAGCATGAAAATGCACACGTGCAGCTATTATTTCCTTCTCATAGTGCATGCCTACTGAATATCTGCTAAATATATTAATATTACATTCATATTACATTAATAAATATTACATATAAATACATTAATAATAATAATAATACATAGAATCATAGAATGATTAGGGTTCAAAGGGACCTCAAAGATCATCTAGTTTCAACCCCCCTGCCATGGGCAGGGAAACCCTCCACTACACCAGGTTGCCCAAAGCCTCATTCAACCTGGCCTTGAACACTTCCAAGGATGGGCATCCACAACTGCTCTGGGCAAACTGTTCCGGTTCCTCACCACCCTCTGAGTGAAAAATTTCTTCCTTATATCTAATCTAAATCTGCCCTCTTTCAGTTTAAAGCCATTGCCCCTTGTCCCATCACTACACACCCTTGTAAAAAGTCCCACTCCAGCTTTCCTGTAGGCCCCCTTTAAGTACTGGAAGGCTGCAATAAGAGCCTTCTCTTCTCCAGGCTGAACAGCCCCAAATGTCTCAGCCTGTCTTCATAGCAGAGGTGTGCCAGCCCTCAGATCATCTTTGTGGCCCTCCTCTGGATGATCCGAGGGCTGGAACACCTCTAATAACACATTAATAACACATTAATAACAGTTCTACAGAATTGGTCTTCTAGAAGTGCTTGGAAGAAAGATTACTTGAAACAAAGATAGATGGCACCCTTTCATAAGAACGGAGTGGATGGTGCTGAGCCAGTGAAATGTCAGCAGTGTCACTGCTTGTCTGGGGGCTGCAAAAGAACAAACACGCCACTTAGCAGGCTGGATTTCTTATGCCAGTTTTCAGACTCACTCTTGATGTGGTGCTCCTGTCTTTGTCAGCAGGGTCAGGACGAAAAACATGAAGATAACAAAAACTGCGAGACCAACCCAAAATCCAATCACAATGGAATCTGGTGAAAAAGAGAAAACAAGATGATCAGTATTTCATCTGCACTTGCAGAAAGTTCCCTTCCACATGCTGCATTGACTGCAGATCCCAAAAGTCTTTGCATCTTATTTCTGGATGGCAGAGAGGAAGGACAATTAGATTTACCTTTATCTATTTTTAAACAGAAAGCTGCCATTGAAGCTCTTATTTCTAGCCTAAGTTTTACTGATGTCTGGACAAACCAGAAACGAGCTGAAAGAGGGAAGACACTGAATTCTGTTGATTAGTAAAATACAAGCAGCGCCCTTTGTGATGCCTGGCCCATGTCCAAGCTTTGCTTTGGAAAAAACTTCTGTGCTACAACTCAGAAGAGAGGATTATTTGATATTCAGCAATAACCTCTGTCCCTGTAGAACTGAAATCCTGCTATTTTAAATCATTTCTGCCCCAGACCATTAGGTTTCTGTGTTTTGATGGATTTCGTTGACACCATCGGTTTAGGAAGCTCTAGCTTTCTTTCAGTGGTAAGATAGAGGGTTCTGAAATAAACAGAACCACAGACAAAACTATCTGCTACCTCAGCAAATATCAACAACCAACATATACAAGACATTTTTGAATATTTTTTTAATTTGGGTTTCCAACTTGCATACAGAAAACTGCAACACAGTGTCAGAGGAGTCAAATGGATTTGGACAAAAATGTCAAACCACGAGTTAATTACAAAGAAAACACCAATGCAATAGCCAAATATAGAAGCAATTGGGAAGAGTGTGGCTTTTTGCCTGTGTGCATAAAATGTATCTACTCTTCTCATTTATAGCAAATGGACCTGTAGATAAATTGTCAGTCCTACTTAAAACAAACCTATGCCCACTTATGACTTCAAAATTGATCGGCAATTGCTGCTGATCCACAATTTGAGCTTGAGAGGTGCAAGTGGGACAAACATATTTCCAGACAACAACCAATGGATAAGCATCGTCCAAAGCTACAGAGCACCAAGCCAAAATATGACCTGGTCAGGACCCATGGTATACCGGTCCTTTTTAACCTGTCATTTCAGATAGTCATTTTTTTAATGCAAATATTCAAAGCTTCCACTGTAAGAGTTCAAAAAATCAACATATAAACATGCAAAAGGGAAGTCTTGGTCAGGACAGCTATCCGATCTACCTGCAACCCCTCACTACACAGCTACCACTGAACCTCAAAGATCCTCGCTGGCTGTAGAGCTGTGTGATGATCTCTCTGACCTAATGCAGCAAGCACGGCACAGAACTTTAGGCAGCATGTTGAGTCTCCTACAGGACTAAAGACACCAGAAAACAAGGAATCAGCTATGCTCCCTGGTGCTTGACCCCAACAGTTAATCACACTCCCACTGTGAAATATCTTTCATGTTAAAAGGCAGATCTGGAAACTGGAAATCAATTCACACCATTTGTTCTTTCTCTGTGAAGTCAAAGCACCTGCTGCAACTGGAGATTTTCTCCCTGTGAAAATACTTTATCACAATTAAGTCACTCCTCAATCCCTTTCTCTGTTAAGCTAAGGAGGTTAAGTTTCAAGTTGTTCACTGCAAGGTTTATTCCATCTCTTCTCTGTCACATCTCCCCCTCTCAACACCCTTTGTAAAATTAACTAGAGGGTGGTTCGAGTATAGGTCTCCATGATGGGGGAGGGTAGGGGGAGAGTTTTTAATACTCCTTTTTGCTTAAAGCACACTGGTATGAGTTTATTTCTGTAATTCCATGCATTATGAGCCCTAAATTATTTACAGTATCATTCTGTAAGTATAGCCTGTATTCAGCAGTTCAAGATGCATCTTGTGGTTGGCCTTACTCATCCACAACAGCTCATGACTGTCTATCATCCTACCAGACTTTGTAGTACCCCAAAATTTCATCTAAAAAGAAATACTCCCACTAAAAAATTCACCATTTAACCATTTACAGCTATTACCTTCCGATTAGTCAGACATGATTCAATGACGTGCAACTGCATCAACAGCCAGAATGTAAAGTCTGATCAAGTAAGATGTCTTAAAAACATGCACGTAGATTATATTGATGAAGCTGCAAAACTTAAATCATCAACTAAGGAAAAACAAACAAACGAAAACAACAACAACAAAAAAACACAACACAAAACAACCAGCATTCAAAGACCATCCCACCGTAAAGGTGCTTTCTGCTCTCAGAGCAGCGCCGTAAGAAGTGCCTTACTCAGCCACTTCTGATTTTCAGTACTTAGACTGGAGGAGCTGGTGTTTTCTAAACACAGTGGTACCACTGACATTTTCTCCCTGCACCACACACCTCCCCAACAACTGGTCAGGCCATTTGTCCCCTTGGCTTCACTACAGCTCACAACACAACTGTACAACATACGGCTGAGCCAACGGCACCATTTGAACTTTACATTGTAAGCCAGATCACTGAAGCAGCCTCTCATTGCTTTCACCTCGGTTTATATTACTGATTTGAATTCCACCACTACAACAAAAGTTACAAGAACATACCTGAAGGAGATCGAGTATTTCCAAGTGGTAATACATCTACAAAGCAACAACCTCACTGTTTGTGACATCTGCCTCTACAAAACTTATCTTTGTCAGCAGAGGCTGAAACTAAGCCTACGTGCAGCTGTGCCAAAGGCTATGAAAGTGAAGATTTTTTACATGGCCAAAAAAAGTGCCGATAAATAAAAAACGAGGATTTGTCAATATTCAGTCTCCCTCTTAATACAACTCCAGTGTAATCTCTCCTCCTTCCTTCTCAGGTTAGGATTTCAGTGAAGTTAAATCTCTGACCCCATTGCCTCCACAATCCTCAACAGTCTCAACGCAGCTGGAAATAGCTAGAACAAGAAACATATCAAGAAATATCATGCCATACACAAGACACAGACTGTACCTTTGCTAGGTTAAACTCAGCCCTCTGAGAATGCACTCTGAACACCAGAGTGAACAGAAACAACTCCAATCTATCAGTTAAAAAAAACCTGAAACCTCAGAAGGGACCTCCTAGGTCACTGATTCCGTACTACTGTTAATCTCTCAGTAAGTACATCAAGTTCCAGCTGAAAAGCAGCTGTTTCTTCTGTCCCGTTCTCTTAAGAGTGGTCCAGAACCCTCCTGCTCTACAGACAGCACAGCCAGACAGTGAAGCCGAGCTGCCACGCTTAGCATGGCAATCACTTCGTTGGCAATCCAAGACTCATTTTGTCACTGAAACTTCCACAATCCAGAGCTAACTATCATTTATATTTCTTTCTCCCGTCACACTTGTTGACACACTGAGCTAAAAAGAAGGCATTTACATAACACTGCAGCTAACCTCTGTAATCAGTAATCTTTGTAATCAGGTTTGGCCTCTGATTAAGTGGAAGAATGGGATGTAAATTAGAAACATGATAAAAGCTAACCTGCATTTTTCAAGTACCTAATGTGTAAAAATACAGACAGTAATCATCAGACTTTGGAGGGAAAAAAAAGGTAAAGTATAATTCACGCTAAAAAGCAACTTCTGCTTTAGTTCTTCTAAAGGTTATTAAGAAGTTCAACAAGTTTCTTCTGACCCTTACAGAACTCCACAAAACTTCCTGACTGTGCAGAGCCAAGGAAAATCAGCCTTTCTGGGCTACTGATTCCCACTGCAAGCGCTCCTCTTTCCCACTCTGAATCCTCATCACAAGGAATGAGGCAGAAAGTATGTATCCCACTCTGGATACTCCAGCACTGAATGGAGACCATTGCCCCCTACTTTGAAGACCGGTGCTCAAACCCTCTCACAGTGTATTCAGCTCACACACAAAGAAACAAGATGATTTACTTCTCTTTGGCAAAGTCCTTGCAAAACACATCCAGGGAGTCTGAGTTAGTTTCTGTTACATTTTTTTTTTTTTTTACTCACACCCATCTCCCCTAAAAGAAAGACATTTCATAAAAGTCAGAGCCATTTTAGATAAATGTGAGTCCAGCTGTACCAGCTTGTCCTAGTTAGATTTCCTCTTAATTCCTACTTAATTTTTCATTTCTGATCCCTGTCCTCCTCTTGTTACTGCTACTGTAAAACAGCTCCAGTATTAGTAGAATGATGAATTTAGCATGAAGAATGCTGAATTTTCTTTCTATGAAGAAAGTCCCAATGACGAAAGTTTCTTCAGAAAGAGAAATTTCTTCTTTTGTTTTAAATCTTTTAAAGCTTTAAAATTATTTTCTACAAAGAAAAAACAAAAGCAGTAAGGCTGCCCACCACTGCCTGCCAATGCCTTTTTAGGATTAACAGGAACAAGAACAAAGCAACACAGATGATACCAAGTAGTCACCAGAAGCAGCAGTGGCTGTATTTGCTGGTATAAACTGTTCCTGATAGCGTGATGTTCCTCAGTATTGACAAATTTCTACCACAGTCAAAAAATCCATAGTTCTTTCATGCACAAGAAAAGCAGTCAACAAAGAGACACAGAACAATAAACGAATGTAATAATCTAATAAACAGAGCAATAGCTCTAATTGCAGAGAATCCAAAAAATTGAGAGGGGTATTTTTGTACAATAATCAGTTACAAATGAAGAGCAGGAACCTTAAGACGGGGAAGCTCAGCTGCAACAAAGTATGTCTCTACCAAACTTACATTTATGAGCCTTCAGGCCTTCAAACGACACTGGTCCATACTCATAGTACTCGTACTCCCAGGTGTAATCAGAGTTCGACAAGGCCTGTTGGGAGGTTCTGTTAGAAATCAGCCTCAGGGCAGACATCTTGCACCTCAATAAATATATACCTGTGGATACGAAATGCGTTAATAGAGACTACACACACTTCTAAGCGCATCTTTTGATTTGATAAAGAAACCTTTCTTATTTACGGGATCTCTTCCTCCTCGCTGCTCCCAAGAGCAGCCACTCATGCTTACAAAGGCCCTCTCTCACCTGTTCCTTTAAAATCCAGTGTCACTGCCTCATCAGACAAGGCTATCGTATCCCCTCCCGTTCCTTTCCCTGTCTTGGCTGGCCAACCAGCAGTCAATGCAGAACTTCTCTTCAATGGAAAGAAGAGAACCTATAATCACCTCCAGAGGTGCCTGTAAGTATATGAAGTATCAAAACCAGTCTTCTCAGATTGAATATTGCTTTTATAGCTCAAAAATAGTAAATATCAAAGATCACCAGCCTCAGCAGCTTAGGATGAATGCTGCCATGAAAATCTGGGTGGAGAACTGGCCAGACTACCAGGCTCAAAGGGTTATATTATCCACAAAGTCCAGCTGGCAGCTGGTTATCAGTGGTACCCTTCAGGAACTGATATTATGGTGAAATGGAGCGCACTTGTCGCGATTCCACAGATTATGTGGGAGACAGTCGAGAGGCCAGAGGGCAGACTGCTACTCAGAGGGACGAGGACAAGCTGGAGAAAGGGAGTGAGAAGAACCTTGTGAGGATCACCAGCGCAAATGCAAAGTCCTGCATCTGGTTGGGAATAACCTGATGCAGTAATACAGGCTGGGGGTTGACCGCTGGGGAGCAGCTCTGCAGAGAAGGACCTGCGACGGACAGCAAGCTGAACATGAGTCAGCAATATGCCTTGCAGCAAAGAATGCCAGGTGTACACTGCGCTGAATTAACAAGAGTGCAGCCAGCAGGTCAAGAGAAGCGTTTATTCTTCTCTACTGGTTAAGAGTGTGTCTGGGGTACTGTATCTGGTTTTGGTATCCCCAATAACAGAAAGACACAGACACACTGGAGCAAGTCCAGTGGAGGGCCACCAAGATGGTCAGGGAGCTGAAGCACGGGATGCACGAGAGCCTAAGAGAACTGGATTTGTTCAGCCTGGAGAAGAGAACACTCCAGTGAGACCTTAGTGCCATCTACAGTTACAGTCTACAGGTGCAGAGATGATGGAGCCAGACTCATCTCAGAGGTGCAGAGTAAGAGGACACAAGGCAACGGATGCAAATTGGGAAACAGGAAATTTAAATTAGATACAAGGAAAAAATTACTTGATTTAGTTGAACATGCTTTGAGCAGGAGGTTGGACCAGATGACCACCAGAGGTCCCTTCCAACCTAAATTTCTCTGTACTAACAAAGAGCTTCAATATGGCACTGTGGAAGGAAAATGAAGCAGGATTGATTTTCCCCACGGATTAACAAAAACTACAATGCAACATTATGCATCACTAAATCGTCTTGATAGATATTTCTGTCATTACCACAACACTGCACTAAGGTTTTGCATTTTGCAGAGTAATTTTTTCAGAATATTAGACAGTTTTATGCACACCAAAAGAGAGCAAATCTCTGCGCAAAATGTCTGCTGCAGCAGCTGGAGTCAGGATATGCAACTGGAAACACATTACAAAATACTTTTTGTAAAAGCAAATTGAGCTTTGGGTAGTTTTGTATTCGATTAAAACCCAGCAGGGTGAAGACTTCATGCAGTTCATAAAACTATTGCAATTAGTTGTTCTGTGGACAATGAAACCTCTCAGAGCACAAAGTGAAATCCAGATAACATTTCTTGAAAAGAAGGGCCCTAAATAGCCACGTCACTCAAAATAACCGAACCTTCAGTCCTTCCCAAGGATAATTAGATTGGCTGAGGCTGTGCAAGTAAAGCACATCATTCAAGTGCTAGGAGAGCCATACATAAAGAATAGGAATCAGGCACAAAATGAGGAACACATTCACCCAGGGAACATGAACAGCTTTTCAAATTTGTAAAAAAGTTCTTTCTGCAACTAATTTACCATGAGTAAATGCTGGCAGCAACGTCTCAAAATAATTTTAAACACCTAGTGAAGTATGCCTGAAAAAGTAAACTTCATACACAGTTACAATGTTCAGAACCTTAAACCCATACCAAAACTTAACTAGCAAGTGATAAATGCTTTAAAACAAGAAACAGAGCTATTTCTCAACTCAAACCGACTTAGTTTTCACAATGAGCAATTTGCCAACAGTAAGGGGGAAAGGGAAGTGACCAACCCCATTTGCTTAGGTTAAGATAAGGAGCTTCACATTACTCTCACTCTCCTTTAGCCGCTCAAAGCTCCCAGTGAGAATAAATAGCCTGAAGCATAGAAGAGGAAGAAGAAAAAAAAAAAGATGGTTGTAACAGACAACCCAGTTCATGGCTGAGGATGTTTCCCATCCTCTACTTCCAACCCTTAAAGAACATGACAGAAAGAGGTAAGTGTGACTTAACTTATTACTGTGTTATCAGTAAAGTTTCTCCTTTGCTTTCCCAGTGACTAGAAAACCTTCTTATTTCCTGCAAAGAAAGAATGTCTAATTAAGCTTTAGGCAGAGTTTTTCTTGGGTTTAATCACCTAAGGTAACTGCTGCCTTCTGGGAAAAGCAAATGGCATAGAGAATAACCTAAGATTCTTGTCCCAGTTTGGTCCCATCTCAGCCCTATCAGTTGTCTCTTACAAGACTTTGTGTTTCATTTTCTGACTGAGCCCTAAGAGACTACATGGTGCTGCACAGGGTACCCACCATCTTTTTCCCTTCTCCTCAATGTTTTGTTGATGATGTGTCTCTTGCTAAATGTTATCAACACATTCCTGTTTAAGGACTACTTTTCTCTTTTACAGCCTTCCAGAGAAGTCATTCATTTAAATATTTCTCATATGGCATCACCAATGTTCATTGTCACCTCCTTGCTTTTAGTATTATAAAAAGAGCTGAACAGTGATCTGCAGGCAGAAAACTTCAGAATAGGGTATATGAACAGTCTGAAAAATGTTTCCTTTTCCACCTCAAACGCAGGCAAATTGGATTAATTGGGCCACATGCAGATCTCTCTCCTGATCTAGTCACTAGTGTCTATTTACGATTTATGGGGAGAATAGCCACTTCTAGGGCACAAAGAATACGTCCTGTTTTAGTCTTAGGTTAGGACTAGACTAGACACTAGCTCCAGTGTTTCACCACTGACTATATACATTTCTAGACTTACTCCCATTGTAGACAAGTCACTATGAGAGGGAGAGGTGTGCTAACTGAAACCTAGGTCACCAGCTCTCAGGCTAAACCTTTGCCTCAGGATTTGTGGGAAACACAACATACACCTCTAAATGATCCAGTACAGCTAAGCATAAACTTTTCCCCAAACTAGCTCACACCTCACTTGTAAGCTTTGTCAGTTCAAATGCCTCCAAAGCCTCAGCCTGAAACATGTTAAAGTAAACCTTTTCTACTTAAGAAGCCAGCCCATGGTGGAACAAGGATCAGCACAGCTAAAGTAGTGAACATTAAGACCTTGCATCTCCCAAAGAAGAGCAGAGCAGGATAAGCTGGCATACTAGCAGCCTGTCACATGTATCTGCTAGGCTGCAGCAGGTCATGGAGGGACTGTGGGTGCCAGATAAGGGCTTCTGGGAAGGAATTCTCCCAGGAGATGCACTCTTTCTGCCAGGAGTGGACAGCACTGATTCATCCTACAGCTCCAAGGCATTAGTCCAAGCAATTGACCTGTTGCGGGTTTTTTTTGGGGGGCACAGGACTTAAGGGAAACACTAAAGCCCCTCTGTTGACTTTGATGCATTTAGATGCAGACAGCCTTTCTTCACCCTGGTTCATTTCTTTCAGGAGCAAGTAAGCAAGCAACAAAAAGCTTCCTTTTGATCACTCAAGAAACCCCAAAGCAGGGCTGCGTTCAGTGGGAGATTCAGGCAGGTCAGTCTCACAGAAACTAAAAAGGGCAAGTGCTCATGGCTGCCTTCCGGAGCGTTGGGTTGGTCTCTGCAGATAAGAGATGTCAACAGGTACGCAGACATACCCCATGGAGACAAGACTGCAACTCCTGGAGTTGAATTAAACCTTCACGAGAACTCATTTTTAACCCATGTGAAAGTTTGTAAGGTCTCAGCTTGCCTGCCAGCAGTACCTGAGCAAGCCAGTTTGACTGTTGGGCTGTATTTGCACAAAATCCACATCTTTGAACTGCAGCAGTGGGGCATCAAACACTGCAGCAGTTAGATTATTTGTTTCAATCCGGACATCATCAGCACATTGCACAATGCTTACAGCCACTTACCTCTCAAACTGAGTCACTGTAAAGGCAAAACTGGACACACGCTGTATCTGAAGCACAACATCATGGCTTACACCACCACTGGGGCCACAAAGACAAATCTGGGTTTGGGTTCATTTCGAACTGGCCTTGTATGTAACCAGCAACAACCACCTCCAAACCTGACCTGCCTGCACAAGAATAAAACCACATGATTTGGTCAATGTACTGCTCATTTCTGGAGCAAAAGAAACTACCAATATGGTAGACACAACCAACTTTATAAATTTTCAATCAAAAACTACATTTGTTTTCTACATACTCCATTCTGCTTACTGCCATAGAGTCTAAGCACTTTACAGTCTTCATAGACTGAATGGACAAACTTTTGGCCTGTTGCAAACTGTGAAAATCCCAAAAGCCAGACAGGATAAAAAAGTAGCAAACTGAAAAGTCCTAGCCTGAGAAAGCTGAGCGCTACACCCTGACACATCGGCTCCATCAGCTAGGCAGTACAATTAACCCAGAAGTTGCTAGCAATGAGAAGTTAACAACTCAGGCTATTCCCATGCTCTGTAAGTCCCCATACCAGCAACAATATTCTGCATGGAGGAAGAAGGGAATCACCCACCACCATTACGTTCCTTTTTACTCCATCCCAAGAACTAAGAGTTGAGGTCAGAGGGAAAGAAGTCCACAAGGAAAGCAAGCACTAACTCATTTACTCTGCATTGCATGAGCTGAAAAGTAATACAGACCCCACCTTTATAAAACCCTACTACATGGCTATTGCTTTGAATAAGATGTGCCACACTCAACCACTGAAGAGAAAGGAGTCTGCAGGAAATACTTAACCAAATGGTCCTTGCTAATGCTCGAGATCGTAGATGTGCAGCATTTGAGATCAAACTTGTGGTCTTTTCAGGGGAATACCCAATCTTCCTGCCTGCAATAAAACAGAGGAAAACAAGCTATACTAAAAAAGTGAAATTTAGCAAGAAAAATAGAAAGATAACTGAAAACTGACTGTACAACTGAAAAAAAAAAAACACAACCAAACAACAAAACCAGCCCATTCATACATGCTAACTGTGAGTGCATAACACCTGGCACTTCTCTTGGACAGAAAAGAAAGTACCACTGTTAACATTAGTTATGTTCGTGATTGATGCTCGCCAACAGCATCATATGCATAAGCTATTGCACTAAAATGGCAAGAATGATGCTGGATTCATCACAAAGGACTTTATAACAATGGTAAGAAAAAAATGCCAGTTTAGTCATTGCTTATCCTGGGAACTAAGGATGAGAAATGACAAAGTTACAGACACCTGTGCCTCATACCACTCTATTACACATCATGTAACATACATTTTATCATCCTTATGACTATGCAATGTAAACTAGACTCCAACAATAAATTGCTTATACACCATGCATATAAATTCTCATGAAAACGTCTTATTTTCCACGTACTAACACTTAATGCCTTGCACTGCGTGTGCTGCAGTGTAAAAGGAGGTCTCCACACCATCATATATAATTTGCATACTAATAGTAACGCTACTGTTTGTACTTAATTTAAAAGCAATGACTTTACGACTTTAAAGTAAAATTTAACAAATAAAAGACCAAAATGGCTTGCCAAGTATTTTCCCAAGAGACAATAATGATATATACAAGCACTAACACCCGCTTAGCAGCTCATCTCAGTAGGGGCCACTTGGAAGTTAAGCAGAAACTAATTCGAAATCACACTGTATTATGAGTTCACAGATAACTGTATAGATTTGAAAATAGATAAAGCAAACATTATATAAACTGACTCATAAGCCTTGTCTCAGAAGACAGCTGAATTATGCCTAATGTGGCATCAAAGCAGCTATGCATTCCTCCCACTCTTAAAAAGTTTGACTCCTGCACTGACAGTAAAGGAACATGGAACAGTTAGCGTAGAGCTATTGCCACTTGCTCCCAAAACACACTGAAGCAAATAGCTTTGCTTAACTCCAGTACCGAAGCCTTAAAAATTACAGCCAGAACATACAGTCTTAAGAGACA